TATATGTAATGTCTGGTGTTGGGAAATATAAAAATGTTTGATGATGGTAGCGGGATATTGATAAATGTTATATATTTCTTTGATCAATGAAATGATATATCTCTGTCTAAGAAGCTAAAGATAAAACATTGAGATGTTTCTATTAAATAATAACTTAAATGTAAATTAAAAATAATTCACATGCTGAACTAAAAAAGAAAACATTAATAACTGATTTTCGTGCGGTGATATTTATCTTTCGCCCAAAAATGTATTACCAGAATTGTATGCATCAAAGGTAAAGTTCATTGATTTTTACATAGAACTCAACCAACCCGTTGAAGTCATGAGCCAGAAAGTACCGACCAACAAACTGTGTCATGGGCCAGAAAATCCCGACCAACAAACATATAATACCTCATATGCCAGTGTAATGTCGTTAGAACATACTTTAGAAAGAGAAAAAATGTAACAGGATCCAAAAAAAAATAGAAAACTGAAAAAGAGAACTTAAAGTTGGCATTAAATACACATGTAATAATATGCGAAGTTGAGAGAGATAGAGAGAGAGAGAAAGAATGTCAGCATTGTCCGTATAGATAACAAAGTTTAATATTTCCATATGTGTTATCCCATTGTATACATAATTTCAATAAACTGCAATAATCAATTCTTTTTTCTCATTTAATTTCACGTTTCATGAATTTGCTATATTGCCTTATCTTTTCACCATAGGTCTTTCTTGCGATGCAATCTCGATATAAAAAAAAATCATCATTATCATAAATACACTGTCCTATCCAAGTCAGAACCCTTTCATCTGTTGTATCGTTTATATTGTAGCTTACTTTACCATTTGAAATTGTTGGTATTGGCGACATTTAGGTCTTTGAACATCCCTATTAGATTTGTTAAACAAAAATGTCCAGCCACAAGGCGATTTTGAGCTTGGCTTATTATATAGAAACCTATTTATTATGTTTGAAAACCGTATGTTGTCTTCAAGATGTTACATCTGTTTTGTTCTTTTTGTTTTGTTTAGTGACTCTCTCATTAACCAGAATATCTCAATCTTTACATTCCACCTGTTTACGATCGCTCCTGTTACGCAGTTACTGCGGCTTAACTGTATCTTGAAATAAACAAACGTATAAACAAATATCCACAATTAATTAGCCAATAGATGGTATAGAATTATTCTATGTGCTATCTTATGGGCGCATATCGCCACAACTCCTTCTATTCATACAAAATGTTTTAAAAACTTATTTTTGTAAAATGGCATGTTTCTGGAATAATATTCGTCTGGTTCGTTCCTGACCAAAAGTTCAGAAAAAACAGTCAAAAATATGAAACGTTCGACAGCAGATTAAACAGAAAAATAACAAAACAAAAATATTGTTTTGATATGGATTTGGAAGTTGCACATTCTGATTGCATTTACGCGTTATGCGTTTTCAGAAACAAACAGTTCAAACGAAATGAATCTTTTATAACAAAATAAAAAATGAAAATAACATTCTATAATTGTATGCGCCTTAACTGAGCACATTTTTTAACGTCTCTGTTTGGTAAAAATCGAATTTTAACCGTCTTATTTTTCAAGGTGTTACCACTACGAACATCGATTTCATTAACTATTTATCGACTTGAAATAAGTTTTCAATAATCGGGCGAGTATTTTTTTAAGAAGACATAAACTGGTTTCGTGACGCTGACTTCGCATTTACATCAAACAAGTATTCGACTTTGAGCGTTCTTGATTAATTTAAATCCTGAAAAACGCTTTGGACGCATAACATTTATAGAATGTTATTTTCATTTTTTACCAGTTACAGTAGTATAAAATGCATTCATTAACAGTAATTCAAAAAGCATGCAGAAACGTCAAAATATTGCATGTACTTTTAGTATAAAATAAGGAGATGTGGTATTATTGCGAATAAGACAACAATCCACCAGAGACCAAATGACGTAGATGTTAGCAACTGTTGGTTACCCTACGGCCTTCAACAGAGTGCAAAACCCTAAACGCATAGCAAGCTATAAAATCCCTGAATTAAAAAAATGTAAAACAATTCAAATGAGAACACCAACGGCCTGATATATGAACATAAGCAAACATAAGCAAACGAAACATAAATGTGATATACATTAACAAACTGCAACCAATTAATTACAGGTTTCTAATTTGGGACACTCGACAGGCACATACACAATGTGGCGGTGTCGCACATGTTTGCGGGATGCTAAATCCTCCCTAAACCTACGTGTTGTGTAACAGCACAACAAAAAAGCAAACTACAAATCAGTAGAAATGAGCTTGACTCATCAAATCGATACAAAGAAAGACAACAAACTAAAAAAAAAAAAAAAAACACAAAACACGAAGTACCGATCTGAGAGTTACTCGCAGTTATTAAAAACAAACTGGTATCTTTGACATCCTATTACTGGCTGAAGAATCGTTTGTTTCTTTGTCTTCTTTGAAAGTTATACCAGAAACACCTGTCATGTGCACTGACATCGGTCTTGTATTTTTATATACAACTTCTGCTTCCGTGCCACTGAAGGACTGTCAGTTACCGGAGATACCATGTGTCAAGTTATCAGTGTTTCAGTATTCGGCATGATATAAATAATATTTTTATTAAATTTCAAGTTGATGGCTTCTATCATTGTACTGAAAGTGAATGCAACTCTTTCAGACAAATCTGACCTTCGGTTTTGTTTAAGCCATAAGTTGTAATGCTCATAAATGCATTATGTATTTAGTTTCTTAAACTTTTGATCTGTAAAACCTGGTGAGTTTATTCCAGAAACACGCGTCATGTGTACTAGAATTAGTATGATACGTTTATAATGACTAATGGCTAATTTTATTCTATGTTAGATTGAAGAAAATCGGCTTTAACATAACATGTCTAAACACTGCTTGCTTCAAATAAACAAAATTTTAAAGATTTTTTATATATATCTTTGCGAAACGAGCAAGAGTAATGTGGTATTTAAAGAATTTTTGTTGAACTATGTTTTTAGTAAATAATTGATTAACTATGATTAGTTCTCAAAATTTTCAACTGATACATCTGTGATCTTTGTCCTACATATCTTATTATTAAATCAAATACCAAATTTCGTGAAATGTAAAAATAAAAGTGTTGAGGCTTTTAAAAACGTTTACTCTGTGTTTAGAATGTGTTTGAAAATATCTTAAACCCAGAGATAGACAAGAAGAATATTGAAGTTAAGTACGCCAAACATTTCTCAAATAAATAGTGTCGGTTGAATCATATAAACATGTTACTTTTATAGAGCTAGTAACATGGTTAAAAGCTTTACAGAAACGGTTCATGGATAACTTTAAACAAGAAGATCTATTTTAATACACTTTTAGTTTTATAATAAAGTGGTAAATAAAACAGTTATTGGTGTACAGAAATATTAATACTGACATTAGTATAAATCTGTAGTAATGAAACACACAAGATGTTAACAAGGTAAACATATATATTCGTGGACTTACTTAAAATGTTGAAGATGCTAGTATTTTGACTCCAAACTTTTTTTCATTTAGAACCAGTGACTTCTCTATAAACATCAAACCTCTAACAAGCATATATTAGAGATATATATTCTATATACAAATGCTGCTTGAATATTGTCAATGAAAGTACATGTACAAACTCACAATTGCTTATTGAAGTAATCTATTTTGTCTAAAAGTTAGTTTCCAGTCGACCCTTCTTTTAGCTTACTAAGATTATGTTAAGTACATTTGTATGGTGCAGACCTAAATTTAGTTGCAATCATCATATTTTTTTATTTCAAGTTCGAAGGGATAGGCAATATCAACATAGTCATCTTTGAAATATTCAGTGAAATTGCATCACCTTTATTGGGGAACGTGAAGTTAAAGAATAGTGCTAGCTTTTTTCATGTTTTCCGAAAGATACCTGTATGAAATCTGTTCATACAATAAAGAAACATGCCGATGAGAATGTGAACACAGTTGGTCCCCATAGGAATGTCGATTGTCAGTTGACAAATACGTCATCCAAACGCACAAATATGCTGTCAACAAAAAATGATAATAGCATATACACATTGTTGTCAGATCACTGTAACTTTCAAAGTTTGTAAAAATTAGTTTATTAACAAGAGAAAAGCTAAATCAGAAAAATTTTGCGACAGTGACATTGTTCAGATCATGGTTATTAACTGTAGCGAATGCGTGACATTGGTAGACCAACCATGTTTATTGAGACTATCAAATGAATGACAGTGTTAGACGAACAATGTTTATTGACATTAACCGAATATGATTATTAACATTGTTGGACAAAAAATGTTTATTTAGACCCCCCAATTTTTTCATTGCTCCAAGTGCCAGCATCTTCAGCCCATTTGTCTTTTAAGATAAAACTTTATGGCAATTTCACAGAACGCTTGTATGGTTCCGAGTTTAACCTAGCTTATGTAGTCAAATGATTGTCAGATTTTCAAAGATAAAGCAGCACCTACGTACACATTTATAAAATTCAGGGTTATTGATGGAATAAAAAAAATCATTTTTATGAACATGGTGACTGTTTATTAACCCACATCTGTTACAACTGTGGTTCAATTTGATTACAAAACTAAGATAATAATAACAAAGTTCTTCTATCTTATTAGAATCTGGCAGTTTAATAATTTTGCGCTGTACAGTTCAACATTTGTAGAACATCAATTGGATGACCATGCTTTAACGGTTTCATCAGCTGAATTATATGTTATAAATGCAAATATTATTTAGCCTAATTTGATAACACATTATAATGTTATTAGAGCGATCGGTATACGAACTTTTTCTAAAGTTGAATTATTGTTCTGGACAATAAAATATTGATTGATTATATTGCTAATGTGACTTCAAAGATACAATTTATTGCAGAAACTAAACTTTGAATGCTAAAAATTCTTTGATTGTTTTACTGACAAACGAACAAAGTTTGTACGTTAATTGATCTGGTTATTTTATTAGTTAAATAAATATCTACTAACGCACTCGGCATAAAATAATTTGTTGATTTATCTGCCGAAATAGTTTAACTACGGGAACAAAAGCAATTTCCAGCCACCGAATCACACACACACACTTGGTTATCATTCATTTATATTGATCGGCAGATTACATTCACCAGCAAGGTTGTGGAGTTTAGTGTGACAAAAACGGTTTAGCTGTAAGAAGCATTTTCATAACGTTTATAGTGTTTATAGATTATTTCTGAAATTAATTGGACATTTCATTAAATGACACATATCGTCTCGAGGAATTTGTGTTAAATTATATTTACATAAAACTCTTTGAAAAAGGAAAGAAAAAAATTTAAAAATCCATAATAATATCAAATATTATATGCTGTGGAATATTGGGTTTTTTTCTGAAAAGTTTGTTGAGTTTGAAATGATTAGGAATATCTACATGTTTTAGTAAAAAATAAAATGGGTTGTCGTCAAACGAAACCGGACAGTAGTGAACAAGGATCGCCAGTTCATTTGGATTTGCTGAACGAAGGCAATGGGGTCCCTCATGTTGACCCCCGTTTACCCTTAAATGCAAGACAAGTGTTTAAATTAAAGCAGTCATGGAAAGGAATAAAGCGAAACATAGAAGAAACAGGGGTGGAAATGTTTATCAGGTAAGGTTCATGCTTTTATAAATAGTTCTATTATTTACTTGGTCTATTTGTTTCTTCTACTTGTTCAGTATATTGGTCTTGTAAAACAATAGAGTAAATGTCTTGGATGACAAACGGATCTAAATGGTACTGCTCGTAAGAGAGATGTTACCGAGTTTAAGTTTGTTGGTAATTCTATGTTTCAGTGTAATTTTAATCGATATAATGTTTTATACTACGTGATTTGAATAAAAAAACATGACCTTTACATTATCTCTATAAATAGAAAAGGGTAAATGAGATTGATGAAACATTTCCAAACGAAAACTATTAGGTATTCTTTTGAAGATTGCCCTGAAACCTTAAATGTTTTCACATTCCAGAAGAAAGCGTTATAGCATTATCAATATATTTAGCTTAATTGCTATATAATTAGCTTTACAACTATAATGATTATACCGCAAGATCCCTCGACCTCCTATCGATGGTGAAACAGAATTACATCTTGCAAAGTTTTGGGTCAACCTTGATAGAGGTTTATACGAAAGATTTCATTCATAAATAGAATTGCGTTAAAACCTGCATGTAGATGAATCGCATATTTACACAGATATTTACTCTCGCACTTGAGTCGATCATCAGCAAAAAAGTAGTAATTACTGCCATTCAATTGCACGTTTCGTTCATAATTACAATGTAGCAGGTATACAGGTTTTTTGCAATTGATGAAAATGGCCAATAGTTGCTATGTGGATGATTGCTTGATAACTATCCAAGGTCCTCCTATAGTCTTAAATAACCCCGATCAATACGATCTTGCTTTGCATCCCATAAACGTACCATTGTGACTATATTACACTTCAGTTTTGTTTGATTATGAAAATGAACAAGTGACAGCATATTGCTTTTATTAGTATTACGTCACATGTATACATTTGAATAAAACGGAATATGGAGCCTTTATTGTTCACATATTGGTCTGTTTTGTTTATGGGAAGTTGTTTGTTGACCACATCTCCTGATTTCACATGTTTGTCATTTTGTTTATGGGAAGTTGTTTGATGGACACCATCTCCTGATTTTTATACTAAGTACCATTTCTTTTACTGCCACTTTCTTAATATGAATAAAATGATATGTGACACAGCAACAAACAACAAAAGGCCATATTGAGGGCAACATACATGCAGTCTCCAACAATAGACAGTAATATATCAAGCTCTAAATCATTCAAAATCTATAATTTTTTGGAATACATTTAAAAGAAACAATCAAAGATCTGCCATTTAATTAATAATCTCAATTCTTCATACGACATAAGACAAATACTGACAAGGTACCTGATTTGGTACCTCCACGTGAAAATGATTCTGTTAATTTTGGTTATAGATTGACCAATATTAGGCCATTTATACATTGCATATAGATTTCAGAAGACGTTAGCATTGTTACGCGGGCAGCGTACAGTCACGAAAAGGACACACTTTGTGTTAGATGTCACATATTGAAGAGTTAAACCATTTAGGACTAAGCTGGTATACTAAGAATGAAACATGAAGAAGACTTATTCGACCTATAAAAAGCCTCCTTATACAGTGAAAACGATATTTTACATATAGTTTTATCTATGATATGAAATTAAAAAGATCTAGAATAAATGTCATTATACGATTGCACATGCTTGTCTGTTTATTTATTTTTTTGTTTATATCGTGTCATATTACAGTAAATACCATCGGTAGTCTTCGTATGTCATCTCAATGATTATTTAGATGGTGTAAAGACTAGTCTAAAATACGCATGTAATGCTGATACATTATAACGAGTCCAGACATAGCTGACTATTTCTTTGGACTTTTTGTAACTTGGATACGCGTTTTAGTATATTATAAATCAAATACTAGTATGGGACATTTAGTCAACTCGGTGAACTACATTTGACAGCTAATGCCCCTAATAGATAACTCTTAGACAAGGGAAATTTACCGTCGTGTTATATTGAAAATACGATGATAATTTAACATAATAGCAAAATTATCAATTTTGTTATCTGCAATTAAACGCAATTTAGACACCAATTACTTTATTATCTACCGAAAAAAAAAATGTACAGGACGTTTCATGTTAGCTAGTAAACTGTAACAGCAAACGTATGTGGTGCAGAAACTGTACAATCTACTCTTTTCTATATCATTTTCAAATTAAGTGATCGTGTAATTTTTTATTGATTGTGTTTTTCCCTTTACTTTCGTTTGTTTTGTTTTGTTTTGTTTTGCCCTGTTTATCCCTTTTCTCGATTAACGGCATGTCTCAATCTCTTCAATTTTTCTTATCAGTGTATTTTCATAAGGTTACTAAGTTAGCATTTATAAAGCTACTGAACTTGAAGTAATCAAAAATCGTGTAAGTGTAGTGAACTGATAACATAATTTGTTTATGATATTCCTCATCATTGCCTCATTAAAGTATAAAAAACGTAACTGTTCAATTCACGTATCTGTAGATAAAACACGAAATGTATCAATCGATAAGAAATCTTAAAGCAGAAAATGAATATTCGTTCACATGAAGAATCTGTGAATACATTTAAAATATTATTTTCTTTTCGATATAAAAGTCAAGAAATAATTTGCCTCATCTCTCTCTCTCTCTCTCTCTCTCTCTCTATATATATATATATATTAATAATTAATAGTTAAGATCCATTTTGTTACATCTGGTGATCCGTTTATTTGGCAATCGCTAATGGCAGTCAGCAGGGTTTAAGAACATCCGTTGTTCGACCTGCTAGTCAAATGCGTTTTGTTAAAATAAATATACTTTTTCACTTTTTTGGTCTTTTGGAAACTGTTGTTTGTTCTGTATTTAGACCCCTCTACCAAGAAATTTGTTTTTTGTATTTAGACCCCTCTACCAAGAAATTTGTTTTGCATGCACACGTATAAAAATTTCGGTTTTTATCCAACGCAATCATAGGTTTGAACGTTGTTTTCAATTTAGAATTGTATATATATAATATATATTTGATAAGTACTTCTAAACAAATGACAACTCTACGACAGATCCATGAAGGTGGTACACGGCTGATAACACATATTATATTCATAATTACTCTAAATATCAGCACAACAATGTTAAATCTGCAAATTTGCGGAAGCAAATTTTTGTATGTTGCTTTATTTTCCTATTTCATCTCCATTGACTTGAACACACAATTTATCGGAGAATGAAGGAAATTAACCGGTATCAACTCTGTAAACAATCTATACAAAAACAAAATTAGACAGCTGCAGGTGCCACAGCCACTAAACGATTTGACTTCTGCTACCTGTATGCAACAATGCAAAGAGGAGAGGGATAACATCCGCCACAAATTGAATATGCAAGGGGAAAAAAGCGATAATGATTTTAATCTATTTTATCTAATCATTTTAATTAGAAGCACAATATATATAATGGTAATTTGGAATTACACGAGGGATCACAATCAATTATTCAATCTCATAGTTTAAAGACATCTAAACATATTCATGGGATGTTTAGTACCTTCTGGTCATTAAACTAATTGAAAAAAATCGGATAACTGTACAGGGTAAAGAAATATGTTTTCAAAAGTGAAATTCAAAAAAATTGATATCAAAATTATTCACAAAGCCATTGATTGTTTTGAATTAAACTTGGCCAGCCGATTATTTTATCAGTAAACACACACATTATGTTTTTCTAATATCTCGATATCGATTGATATTCTTACATTTGTATCTCATATCCCTATGGTCTAAACAGTTGACCTGAAGTCACCAGTTTAAAAAATACAATGAGGGGCAAGAGTATATTCATTTTTAGCTCACCTGGCCCTTTTCTCATCACTTGGCGTCCGTCGTCCGTCGTCCGTCGTCGTCGTCCGTCGTCCGTCGTCGTCGTCCGTCGTCGTTAACTTTTACAAAAATCTTCTCCTCTGAAACTTGTGAGACAAATTTTACCAAACTTGGCCACAATCATCATTAGGGTATCCAGTTTAAAAAATGTGTCCGATGACCCCGCCTGCCTACCAACATGGCCGACATGGCTAAAAATAAAACATAGGGGTAAAATGCAGTTTTTGGCTTTTATCTCTGAAACTAAAGCATTTAAAGCAAACCTTACATGTGGTTGAAAATGTTCATCAGATTAAGTTCTATCTGCACTGAAATTTTCGACGAATCAGACAACCCGTTGTTGGGTTGCTGCCCCCCGAATTGGTAATTTTAAGGAAATTTTGCAGTTTTTGGTTATTATTTTGAATATTATTATAGATAGAGATAAACTGTAAACAGCAATAATGTTCAACAAAGTAAGATCTACAAATAAGTCAACATGACTAAAATTGTCAATTGACCCCTTAAGGAGTTATTGCCCTTTAAAGTCAATTTTTCGTAAAGTTTTGTATCTTTTACAAAAATATTCTCCTCTGAAACTACTGAGACAAATTTTACTTAACTTGGCCACAATCATAGGGTATCTAGTTTAAATAATGTGTCCGATGACCCCGCAACATGGCCGATATGGCTAAAAATAGAACATAGGGGTAAATACAGTTTTTTGCTTATATCTCTGAAACTAAAGCATTAAGAGCAATCTGACTTGGGGTTAAAATGTTCATCAAGGTTAGATCTATCTGCCAATTAAACTTTCAGACAAATCATACAATTCGTTGTTGGGTTGCTGTCCTGGTTATTTTAAGGAAATTTTGCAGTTTTTGGTTATTTTGAATATTATTTTAGATAGAGATAAACTGTAAACAGCAATAATGTTCAGCAAAGTAAGATCTACAAATAAGTCAACATGACCAAAATCGTCAATTGACATCTTATTGGAGTCATTTTCTGCAATTTTTTGGTAATTTTTGTAAACTTTTTTCAATAATCTTCTGCTTTAACTACTGGGTCAAATTAAATCAAACTTTGCCTCAATCATTATGAGGGTATCTAATACTAATTATTTTGATTTTAACCTTATCAAACATGATTTCTAAAACGACA